GGGCGCGGCCAAGAGGAGGACAAGAGGAGGACAAGGCCCAGCCACAGCCACAGAGTTGACAGAGTTCAGGGGCGCGGCCAAGAGGAGGACAAGAGGAGGACAAGGCCAGCCACAGAGCCCAGCCACAGAGTTGACAGAGTTCAGGGGCGCGGCCAAGAGGAGGATAAGAGGAGGACAAGGCCCAGCCACAGAGCCCAGCCACAGGGCCCAGCCACAGAGATCAGGGGCGCGGCCAGTGAGTGTGGCCAGCTCTTTTCTTTCTAAGATAGAACCCCAACAGTAAACTGTTTGGGGAAATAAGAACAAAACATTTAGAGGGACTGGGGAAACCAGGTGGCTGAACGGTCAAGATTCCAGGGCGCTTGGGTCGGGGGAAGGCGCTTGAGTCTGGGGCCTGCGAAGATCCAAAGGAGTCTCCGGGAGATTCTTGTGCAAACAGTGGTCGTCTGCTTGGGGGATCCTAGGCCAAGCTGGAAAAACACAAGAATACAACAACTCATCATGGCGACATAACAAGGATGTGTACAATTGGCAGCTGCTTAGCCACTCTAAGGCTCTGCTTTCATTCAGGTCACATTCATCCTCCCCCATCAGTCACTACATCCAAGCTGCATCTGTGGGTCCGGCACAGCAAAGACGACTTTGCCAAAGTTGCTGAGCTCGGGCCTTGCCAGAGCCACATCGAAGAGGCTGGCCACGTCCTGTCGCATATCACGAGCGCGACGAAAACCAGGTGAAGCAGGCGTTCAACGGTGAAAAGCGCCTCCACCATGCATTAGGGAAGCCATCACTTCGCACGTTTTGGACAACTTGAGACCTCAACTTAGGGAGGCATCGCTTGCTTTCAGTTTGGTTTCACCCATCATGATTGTGTGAGGGCGGCACATCGCCTTTCAGGCGGACCCCATCATACCCCATCGCTTGCCTAGGCTAGATCTTTTTTGCAAATCTTAAAGTCCCGAAGGTTGAAGGCAGGCCTTTCTCTTGTATCCTCTTGTGCCCTTAATGCCGCGTTTTGACACTTGGTGGGGTCGGGTTGCCAAGCTCTTCGGCGAACCCAGGCTCTGGGTCGCAGAGCGCCGCGAGTCCAGGCCACCTTCCCATACGAACTAAACCTTCCAGGATCTTCAAGGCCTCAGAGATTCATGAGCCAAAGGAAGCTACTAGGGGCTCCTGGCCTCACTACTAGGAGCAAGAAGCCACTAGGGGCTCCTGGCCTTGCTACTAGGAGCGATCGGACGCTACTAGAAGCAAAGGGCATCGCTACGACACAAGTCTGGAGACTCCGACACGAGGAGCAGAGCCGAGCAGAGCCTTGGGATCGTTGCGGAAGACCCCACAGCCCCAGGCGCCCAAGATCAAGGTGCTGCTGTTCTGGGCCAGCGCCAGGCGCAGCAAACGGTGAAGTCGCACCTTGCCAAACTGCGAGGGCTTCCCAAGTCTGCCCAGACCCAGATCGTTTATGGCCTATGGGCGAGAACATCTGAGAACATCTTGACAGAACAGCCATCAGCATCCCCTTGCCTGTCATGCTTTCATGATCTTTCATGGACCATCTCAGGGGCTGGTAGCTGGAATCCGCTTCTTCAGAGGCCATGCCCACCACGTCACCCTTGAGCGTGTTTGCATTCTGGTAGGGTCATGGATGCTTGACTCAAAACGTGCCCCTTTTCGTGGTTTGGTCTTTCCTTCACTTCGACTATAGTTCCACCTATGATCCTTGAGTAAGAATGTGGGGCTGCCGGCGTCGGGTGTAAGGAGCCCAAGAACCCAAGAATAAGAAGATGTTGTGCATGGTGGATGCACTTGGGGCATTAAGAAGGTGAAACATGTTGGCACATGAACGAACATCATGAGCGTGATAAATGCATCATTCATTTACATAGTACAACTTCAGGAGCTCCACCTGCCGGAAGATCCCCGGCACCTCCATGGCCTTGAGCACCTTCTGCGCGGATCCACCGCCCACCACGCCGGCGTTCACCGCGGGCGCCGTGATCACCGAGCACTTCACGGGGCGAGGCAGCAGAGCGCCCGTGTCGGTGCGGAAGAAGGGCCTTATTAGTGTCGTTGGAAGGGCTCGGCAAAATACGAGATCCCAATCCAGTGATAGTCATGGGGACAGCTGAGTCTGAAAATGGACCATAACGAGAGACACATAGCTCTGACAGTTTTGCAGCTTGAAATCGACTGATAAAGGCTCACCGAACCTGTGGAAACTAAATGAAACTGAACTTCTACAAGGGACACTTTTGGAGAGAAAATCATGTCATCCGAGTAGAAGCCATTGCGGGGATCCTTCCGATTGGCCGCATACCTGCGTGGAGAAAGGGGCAGATCGATCGGCGCCCGCTGCGGGTCGAAGCGCCGTCTCCAGAAGTGTTTTGCAAAAAGTGGATGCGAATCTGCACCGGGTTTGCTGAAAAGGGCATGACTCTGATAGGGCATTTTTGTTCAAAGTGTCTTCCTATCGGAGTGTCTTTGCTAGCTGCGTCACCTTTTGAAGCACACATCAACTTGGACAAAAGGGCCGTCTGACATGGGTTTTGTATTTCCATGGGAAACCTAGGGTCACGGGAAACCTAGGTCCGACACATCTCTGGCACCAGGGTCACGGCTTTCCTGGGTTTCATAGGGTCACCTTCCATCACATCGCTGGCACCAGACTCGGAGCTACGGGAGGCTAGCCGTTCCCTGTTTCACGGGAGGCACCCACCACATTGACCCTTGCAAAAACTCGACCTGTGTCACTGCCAGGCCACAGGTCATCTTTGAACTGATCTAAGCATGGAAAGAGCGCCGAGGACCGTGCCAGTGACTCTTCTTGAGCCTGCGCGCCTCCTAGGAAGCCACCTCCTGTGATGGCGGATCTGCGAAAATTTCAGTATGGAGGGTGGGGGGGTCTTCAGAATTCGGGTGTGGGAGATGGAATTTCAATGGCGTTTCTTGAAGACAGAAAGTAAGCCCCTGCCTTCTGGAGTCGGTTGCTCCCAAGTCAGTACCATATCGAGTCGTTTCTGCAAAGGAAGACTTGCCAGGAACACTTGTTGACGGAGACCCGGATGGTCTATAGAATGTGTTTTGGCTGCCTTAGAGTGACATCATGCTTTCGACCAATCATGACCAGACCATTCTCTCAATTTCCCTCTCTGACTCTCCCTCTTCGTTCTCGGACCACCGTTCACAGCAGAATCTATGGGCTCGCGGGGAACGAGCGAACGGGTTGACGTGTTTCATGGAGCCAAAGCCAGGAAAATGGGCCCTTCAAACGGGGCCGGGCTATCAAAAAGAAAATATAAACATATATCAGAAGGAAAATTTTCTATATCCCACCCAAAAGAACATCAATTGGTATCAAAAACAAAAAACCCTTTCACAAAGAGCTGCGCCTGCCACTGCGAACCGCCTTGGCAGCGCTGCACGATGTGAATCTGGATGTGCAGATTTCGTGGCAGGCGCAACACTTTGAGCACCTCCAGTAGCAGATTTCGTGGCAGGAGCGGCACTTTGCGCACTGGAAGTGCAGATTTCGTGGCAGGCACAGCACTTTGAGCACTTCCAGTAGCAGGTTTCGTGGCAATCGCGGCGCTGCGTGAACCTCTGTCTAAAAGCGCAGGCTTCGTGGCAGGCGCAGCGATTGCGAACCTCGAAGTGCAGATTGCGTGGCGTGCGCAAAATCTTCTGTGGATCTCAAGACCTGCGACAAGAGCTTTTGACATCTCTGGATCTTAACATCTTTCTACACCCTCTGCAAGTCTAGAGTCTAGACCCCTAGAATTTAGATTTCAAGACCTGCCTGGATCTCAAGACTCAAGACCTCTGAACCTCCATCTTTAGATCTGTGGGTTTCTAGACCTCTACACCTGCAGACCCGTCTGGATCTCCACGCCATGTAGACCTCATTGCACTTCAACCATGATCTCTCTGAATTTCAGACCTCTAGGTTTCTGTAGGTGGATCTCAAGACATCTCTGAATCTCGAAGCCACAAGACCTGTGAATGGCTCACAAAAGGTCTACTATGTTGGAACGGCACCTTCCTTCTCTAAAGTTTATGCTGACAACAGGTCTGCTCCTGTAAATTATGCGCTCGCATGGCTCACAAAAGGTCTTCTGCTCCTCTAAGCTTCAAAAAGTTTGCTCACAAAAGGTCTGCCACCTTGGCGTGGCACCTAGAGTTTACCCCCGGGTGGCTCACAAAAGGTCTGCTACGTTGGAATGGCAATTTCTTCCTCTAAGTTTTAACCTCGCAAGGCTAACAAAAGGTCTGCAACATTGGAATGACTCCTTCCTCTTGGAATAGCACCTTCTTCGTCGAAATTTTACCATTAGGGTGGCTCACAAAAAAGGTCTGCTACGTCTGGTGACAAAAGGCCTGCTACAGTTCTTCACAGGATGTATGACCAGATTTCCAAATCACCTTGAACGCGTCTTGCCTCGAAAGTGCAGACCCAAGGACCCGAAGATCAGGACGACGGACCAAAGGACCAAGGGACCAGAGGACCAAGGGTCCAGAGGACCAAGGGACCAGAGGACCAAGGGATCAGGGATGAAGGGACCAAGGGACCAGGGAACCAGCAGACCAGGACCAAAGGAGTAGGGAAAATTTTCTTTTTGATACGAATTAATGTTTTTTTGATAGGAATTGTTTTGTTTATTGATAGGAATCAATTTTCTTTTTGATAGGTATCCCTTCAAACAGCCTCTCAGGCACATGTGCTCATTATTTGATTGGTTTGACTCCAATGTTGAAGGAGAACCCGTGAGATGACGCGGCGTCCTAGCATACAGAACCCAGTCTTGAAGTCTGAAACAGGCTTGAAAGAAAAACCGGCGCAAGAACCAAGGGGGCAGGATAAGGCCATCTCTTGAGGCGGGCCTCCCATGAGGACAGCCATGGCGCTCGGTCGCGGCGCCGCCACGGCGCCGCTCCCTCACCTGGATTCTTGGCGCTGGCAAAGTTGAGCAGCACCATCGATGTCTCAGCATCCTGGCTGGCTTGGGAAATGACATTGGCACAAATAGCTGCACGTCCCAGACCTACCTACCTACCTACCTACCTACCCACCCACCTACCTACCTGGTGGTTATGGTGCACATCCCTACCCACCAGGCACACCCTTCCCAGACGGGCGCACCTGCACATCCCCACCAGGAGTTCCGCAAAGGAATTCAGCGGACCGTCAAGACCAACCACCCACGCAGAACGCGCAGCACGCGCAGCACGGACGCCTGCGTGGCCTCCCCCGCGAGTCTGTACAAAGCTTCCAGCGAGGTCTCTGCCGTCACTTCCAGGGACCAGCGCGAGGGAGCCGAGGCGCGCTCCGGTGAGGAGGACCTGGGCACAGTGGCCAGCTCAGCGGGTGATTGATGTTAGACCTCCAGAAGGTTGTGCTACTAAGTATAGATACTATAGATTCTTGGGTGCCATGTGAGAGCTGTGAAGCTATTCCCTGACTCCATACGTCCAGCCTCTGCATTCTTCATATCGGTTCAGTGAGAGGAGCAGTGTATCTTTCGCCCAGACACCGGATGGGATCACCCTCATGCAGCACGAAGGATCCCTGGACTGCATCCTCGATGTCTTGGTTGAGATCCACCCATTCTTCCTCTGGTGATGAATAGCCACCTCCGGTGGAGGCGAACTAAACCAGACGGCCAGCACCAAAATTCCACGCCTGTCCATGCAAAACTAGCAGAACGCCCCCGGGCTGTCCAACAACATCCAACATAGGTCACCAGTTGCGAGCGCCTCGTTGGAGGATCCTCAGGGTCTCCTCAGCCAAATCTTTCCTTGGGCCAGTTCTGCCAGCCGATGTGGACCCCCCGATCATGAATCATGTTGCCCGGAAAGCCTGGAGCCTCATTTGGTTGCTGAACTGTCTTGGGTCATGGGTTTGGTTCCCAAGGCTGAGGTTGGTCGAAACATCTCACAATGAACTGCACTCCGTCATTTTGTCATTGTTGGCCGCGCCAACGCAAAGCAGGCGATAAGAGCATCTATCTCTATCTTCACCGTGGCAGAACATGCCACAACATGATAACAGTTGATAACATGATCCATCCTGACAGGGGCCTGCATGACATGAGGGACAAGAGCCCATACTTGCCAATCCGGAACCACAAGTTGCTTGATGGAGCTTCGTGGTGCACTGGTCATCGCAAACAGTCACTCGCACGTGTCACAGCCATCACGTTTCAGCTGACGCTGCAGGGCTTGGTCCAAGTTCCCAATGGTGTCCTTTGGGGGGAATAATGGACGCAATGGAGGGGTCGAGTTGGTACCAAATACTTTTTGCTTTGGGCACTTGGGGGGTGTCCCCGCCATTAATTATATAATCAATCAACAAGTCAGTAAAAGGACAATATATATCCATACACGATCTGCATGACCTGGCTGTGGCCTTACACCGGGTCGTCCGGGTCTCCGATAGTTCTTCTGGTTCTGGAAGCTGCGAGCCATGGCAGGCCGGCTCCTCAAAGTGGATATTTTTGCACATGGTGGTCGCTTTCGGTGGTCCAAAATATTCAGTTTCTATACAATTTCTTGGCAGTCTTGAGAAAAACCATGAAACACTTGATCAAACGCGCACCCAAAGTGAGAAGGTTGGTAGAGGCTGGGGGTTCAGAGCTGTAGGTTCTCTATGGTTTGGACTTGTTCATCTCATATGATCTTTTCGTGGATGCCCTCCATCAGCACCAAGGCTCCCAAGAGCGTGCCAGATGGAAGTTGCGAGCAGGAAGCGGCTCAGCTGGACCGATATTTCCTCCCTTTGATTCTGTCTTAAAGGCCGGGTTCAGGTCATGAGTTACCTGAAGTAGTACTATGATTACATTCAGTAAATGAGCTTATGATTCTTCCAATCGGATTCCAAGTGAGGCCATCAAAGTAGGGGACGAGGATTGCAATTTTGAGTGTGGAAACTGCCCTGGTAAAATTCTCTCTTTCACAAAAGGGAGACTATATAAGGTTTCAAGTCGCTTCTTTTGCCCTGTTGGATGGCTCTCTGTGTCGATCGTTTTGATCGAAGCTGGCC